TTTGTGAAATGGTTACAAATTGTGCATGGAGTCAAAGCAATTTTGTGAACTTCTTAAACCTAAGAAAGAGGTCATATTAATCTGTATTTTCAGCAGGGTTGTTACCTTATAATTAGGCCATTTCATACAAGGCAGAGAAAAAAAGGTATTATTCAGTATTTTACCATCATTTTTGAGAGAATATATTTGCAAAATGTCAATGATTCTGTTAATGGGCACTCATCCCCAAATTCACTGCAGTAACTAGCATTGGACAAGAAATGAAGAGTACAAAAGAAGTCATTTAAATAACACAAACATTTCCTTCATTATTACACTCATGAAAATGGAAATCAAGGAAAGAAATGGTCCAATGGCTAACCTTTGTGGATTGAATGACTAAGATACAAATACTTTATGCCCTTTTTCAAATGTCATATTGGCACTTTATACCTTTCTGAAAAATGTAAAGACACTGTGCAGTAGACTTACGGTTCAATATAAGAACATTTAGGCTTCTCTGTAGCATATGCAAGATGATTTGCACAGGCTTAGGGAAATTTGGTCTGTCTGGGATAAAGATCATTATTATTCACCTGGTAACTAATAATTGAGTTTGGTGTACAAAATATGTTTGGGAATAAAAATGCCTTATAAATATCAAATGTATTCTGCAGTAATATTGTATTTATCAATTATATGCATTTTATATAATAAATGCTATTTTCCTTTCAGCTTTTAAAATCTCTAACCACAGTTTTATGTATATATATATATGTGTGTGTGTATATATATGTGTGTATATATACACATATATACATAGATTTTTTCTTAAATTCAAGATATTATACATATATATTTCAATTAAACAAACATTTATTGTGCATCTCCTTGATCCTTGCATAATACTAGAAACTTGAGATATGGTTTTGAACAAAACAGAAACAACTTCATACTTTCTGAAACATAGGACCAGTCAAGATTAACTATAGAGTGTTTATGGGAAAAGATAACTTTCATTCTTACTTTGATTTGGTCAGAATATGATTTAAAATTAGGAACTACAACAGAAGTTACCTTATAAATGTTGTTTGCAAATTCCACGGTACTTTTCCAATTAAATCTAATAATTATTTCATTGAGTAACTACTGCTCTGGGTTTGATACTATAGATACAGCACTGAAAAGTATTTTTTGCCTTTATGGAGCTTAGTGTAATTATGTTTCAGTTACAAATAATGTGCTACATATAAGTTAAATTCAAAATATTGGAAGGTAGTGTGGATTACAATTTACTCTACAAAAAGATTCATGACATCTTTTACTTGAGCTGCATGTGTTAATCTAGTTGGAAACATTTGAGACACAAACATATTTAAGTGTTTACTGGAAATTTTCAGTAATGAAATGATACTTTTTTCATAGATGTCATGTCTAATATATCTTACTACATTTAACCATGACATTTATCAAAAAGAGACAGTTCTGTTTTGTCAACTTGCCAGAAATATTTGTATATAATATGATAAGAAAACTCATAGCTTTTTTCTACCAATTGATTAAATGACCAAGAATCTATCTGTGTCTCTCTCACTTTACTCTGGTATATTTTCTGCAGTGGAAGTAAAATACAATGAAATGAGATGCTTTGAGCTCATTCACATATTCAACATTTTGTTTAGTTTCTGTATTCATTCAGACATTTTGCATATATGTTTGAATATCAATTAAATGTGTACCTCATTTGCCTATCTTTCTTAACATTTATTTGTTACTTTATTTCATGTTAGTGGGAGGGAAACTGTTGGTGTAACACAGGTGATTTCTTCCAATAAATCTTTGATAAAACCTGTGGAACTCATGGTTATTCTTGTGTGTTACCACAAGATCTAAATATAACCAGAAATTTTTTAACTCTTATTAGATAAACATCTAACCAAGCTTTTCTCTTTTCCTAATCCTTGTCCCTCTTTCTTATCTAAAAAATACAGTCGAGCCTCTGTAGTCAACCAAGACAGAAACATTAGGTATTCATTCTAACAAGTAAATAATTTGTGTCTCTAAGACCTTTCTTACAGGTTAGTATCTATTCTTTAGAGTTTTTTTAGTCCAGAAATATATTTTCTACCTGAATATATTTTCTCACAAAAATATATCAAATGTATATTTTAAAATGTAAAGTTATAAAATCAATGAAAACTTTAAGACTATATATAAATGCTATTAGAACATTACTTCCTGACACATATTTAGGTAATCAAGTTAAGAAAAAGAAAGTGTAAGATTGCATGTTAAGACTGTCCTATAAGTGTCAATAAAATTCTACATTCTCTGACTGTGAGGTTTTGACATTCAACAGCAGGATAGGGTTTATACAAAACATAAAGGAAAAAGATATTTTCAGAGAAAACAATATATAAATAAACTACCCATGATTAATTGCTAAACATTTATAAATCTTCCTACCAGAATTGCTAACAGATGCTGAGTTTTGAATTAGGAATGATGAAAGTATCATCTGGATTGATCATGTGTCTTAATTTCAAATTTTAACATGTAAGATTATGCTGGATTTATTATTGCCTCCTTTCCTAAATCCCTTTTCCAAGTATAAGCCAAGCTCTTGAGCAGACTATTTCTAAGAAACAAATGTCAACATTCATAGCAGATTAATATTGTTGAAGAATGGGATTTGATAAGACTATTATTCAGTATAATATAATCTGATTCTATTTAAAAAATTTTAGATAGGAAGTTGGAGATGGATACTGTGTTCCTTTGTATGAACTATTTGAAATACAATGTGACTCCTGAAAAATAAACACTCTTTCTGCAATGTTTGAGCTATTACCTTTTCACTTTTTTTTTTAAGTAGAACTTTTTAAATGTAGACTGAAAAATAACCTTCATTTCCTGGATAGCAGTCAAAATCTCCTTTCTTTGTCACCTAATGGAGAATTATTCCCAGAGCAGAAGAGCATCACCTAATGTCTCATGAGAAAGCTATTAGTATGAGATTGTCACATTTCTTAGATAAAAACTTAATGCCAAACATTAATGTAGAAATCCATTTCACAATCTTTCTTATGTCTTACATCTCCCTTTTGCTTTGATGAAGGTTGTATGGTTAGGTCATAAAAAATAATGAACTGGGTTTTAGAAGTAGAAAGATGATCTAATTTCTTTTTCCTCACTGAAGAAATGGAACGAATAGTCAGTGAAACAACTGATGATGAAAATGGGAGTGATTTTAAATGTAGAAAGAACTGGAATATCAAAATTAATCTAGAGGATTTCGTACGTACAAGGCAGTAAGACACTTGGGATGTGACCACCAGTCCACAAATAACCCTCTTGTGGTGCCACACATTCCTTTAGTTTATTTATCTCTCTTTAGTTTAAGATGACTCCTGCAAATTTAGCTTGGGGTTCCACACAAGAGAGATGAATTTCTCAAGGCTACCAAGGGAGGCAATGTTGTTTGCTTTCCCAATATCCATGTTCCTCTTCTTCCTCACTAACACTCCTGTTGGTCTGGGTTTTATCCCAGTAGCAATAACTCCACCTAAATAGTGGCTTATTCAATCTCTGTTGTGGTAGAGGTAGCCATGGGATATGGGTCTGGCCAATGAAATGCAGACATAATCCTTGAGGAGAGCATTTCTTCCCAAATAAAAAGTCACAGCTTCACTAGGAGGAAATCTCTTGCTTGCTCTTCTAACTTCATCCTGCCTGCAATTCAGAAAGACTGCAGTTCAGTTTTTGGATGTAGCAGCCATCTTGTGCCTGAAGTGAATAAAACTGACACACTACAGATGGCAGAAAGGTAATGGGTACTGTGGATCAGCTCAGCTAATATCTGCACCTGCCTCCTACAGGCTTCTTATATGGAAAAAAAAAATCCCCTATTTCTATAAACTGTTAACTGGATTTTTATTACTTGTAGTTGAACACTTTGTGGACTGATGCATGATTTCTCTTAAATTGCTTTTGTATTGAACAAGAGGGGAAAATGTGGTACATATTGGGCAGGAAGGTGCTACGTGTATTTCTAGCTAATTTCTTAAATTAATAAGGATAATATTTTCCAAGGATGTATCTCAGTTTTTATTTTCCTGGATAACTTAAAGATGTCTGAAAGAGAATTCATTTCTGTGGTCAGTCATTGTTTGTGGAAGACAAATTAGCTAATCAAGACCAGTGTTGTGAAATAAAGAATCAAGTATAAATTGGCTTTGGTGCATGTTATCCCACAGCTATATCCTTATTCCAGTGAACCACAGGATTTGCTATATCTTGCTTGTGTTGTTAAAGAATAATTGACAATCCTATCAATTTCACTTGAGATGACAACATTTTTGTGATTGAGACATTAATTTTGGCTTCCACTTTGTGCTAATTACTTACCTACTGACTGCAGTCAATGTCACATTGACTGAAACAATCTCTTTAAGGATAATTTGTCAATTGATGCCAAAAATATTAAAAATATCCACAGTCTATCACCTTGGAATGTCGTGTGTGGAAATTTGCTTTAAAGACTAATCAGAGATAAATAGTTAAACTAACAACAACAGGGGATTGGTTAGATAATTACTATTTAATTTATACTGTGACATATCCTATTCTTATTAAAATAATACAGAGTAGTAATTACCATTAAATACTCATTATATGATATTAAACAAAACAAGCAGGTTATAAAATATTGTATAAATTATTGTTTCGATTCCAGGGAAGAAAACTGGCAATAGACTTATAACATTTATACCAAAATGTTAGGAGTGTTACTCTCAGAGTGTACGAATATGAGTGGTGGTTTTCACTTTTGTAATTTTCAATCTTTTCAAATTCCTGCAATCAATGTATATTATTCAGTGAAAGATATTTTTAAAGATATCTTGGCTATTATCACCATGACTTTAACACTGAAAATAGTGAAGAGCAAATAGTTTTTGTTGATTGCCTTTTCATTAACAAGCAGTTTGACAACAAATTTGTTTCTCTGTTTTTTAATACAGAAATCCTAAATGGTGGAGTCTATGTAGACCAGAACAAATTCCTTTGTTATGCAGACACCATTCATTGGCAAGATATTGTTCGGAATCCTTGGCCTTCCAACTTGACTCTTGTGTCAACAAATGGTAGTTCAGGATGTAAGTAGCATTATTCTTTTTAATGTCTCAAAATGTTGTTCTACCCTATGTGGAGGTGAATGAGTTATGCTTATGCCGTTATTAATATTTTGAACTTCGATTGCATTCATTGAAATGTTCAGTCATATATGACAGCACAAATGGCTGACCAATCTTTTACTTCTAGTTAATTCTGTTTTGGAAATCATGTTTCCTCTTTACAAATTCTCATTTTGTTACCTTGTTTCTCTTTGCTTCATTTAAATTACTTCATCATTCTCCCAGTGTCCAAACGTGTCACCTATCCACAAACTTAAGGCTGGTATCTATTGCTTCAAGTCTCCATATACCTATGTACCATTGAGACGAAGGTAATAGAACAAAAATGGACCTTCCTAGTCACTGTTATTTTTTATTAAAAAGTAAAACCTAGTGAATGTTGCAGAATTCTTAGGCCTTCATTTGCCCCTGAAGTCTTCATGGTCATACTTTATGATAATTTGAAACACTTATGGAATGGAGAAATACAGATTTCATGTAGAAGAAACATGTTACAGTCTGATTTTAGTAATTAGTCTAATAAACTACTGAATTTCCCATTCTTAAAATGGGTATTCTTTCTACCACAAAGAATTTATCAGATTTAAAGTGTTTAATATGATTAAATAATAAACAAATAATATTTGAACTATGATTTAAACCTTTGAAAATTATTCTGCCTGGTATCTGTTTCATTTTCATAAAACAGACTATGGTGTCCCCACATTTATTATTACCAACATTTGTATGAGAACAGAATCTTTATCAAGAGTTAACCTGGGTTTTATATTTCTCATCTATTACATATTTCCCACCTGAAATCATAACTGTCTCAACATAGTTCAATAATTATTTGCTATATTACTGATTGTGTTATGACATTTTTGTGGAAAATCAAACTCCATGGGACAATTATTAAATTTCATCATGGCCCTAATAATATACTGGGGAAATATGAATATATTTTATCAAAACTGACAGCTGTGTTTTTAATAAATGGCTAAAACTTTATGTAAAAAGTAGAGTAATATAATTTTCTTGTCACCTTTGAGCAGAAATTTGCATGGAGTTTTGTCTTTATCGTATTCACGTTGCCTACTTTGTAAAATTACATGTGAAAAAGATGGAATCTGTTCACGTTAACAAGACAAATGATGTGTTTCAGAAATGGCTGCTGTTTTCAGTCTGTCCATACTACTGCACATATTATATTTTCGGGGTGGAGGAGGGGTGGATATTGGTTGGGTAAAAGGAAAGTCCTGCTGACTCTCATCTTATCAGATTGACTAGCCTGTAATGCTTGAATAAGATCAGGCAAGAGTAAAGCCTGAGACAGAAGCCAAAAGGGAAGTGTGCCCACCAGCCTTACAGAATTTGGAGCAGGAAAGATCTGAGGGGTTTGTTGCACTTTCACAGATGGTGTCTCTTTGTGCTATTCTTTTGAAGACAAATTTGGATGGTTGTGCCTACAATTAGGCAACTGTGGATGTATTGTTTTTTGCATGTAAATAATTGCAGGTGCAAAAATTATAAATGCAGAGTAGAGTCATAACCAATGGACTTTTACAAATTAACTACCAATTAATTGCCAAAGTTTTATTATTTACATAGTAGTTTTATTTGCTGACACGTTGCATGACACCATACTAATAATGAATTGTCTATTATTTGACTGTTAGTTTCCTATGGTTGTATCTTTAGTCAATTTAGTTCCTTGTCTTCTCCCCAGGGTTTATCTCAAACACTTTCAGGGTTTTAAATGCAACCTCTAGGTTGATGACTCCCTAGAACTGCATACCACCAACCAATCACTCAAGTTAAAAATTTGGGGGGTCATTATTATCTTTACTTTCTTATCTCTTGGCAGTTAGTTAATCATGAAGTCATCCTGATTCTTGCCTGTTTCTTGATTTTACATATTTATTATTGTGATTGGCCTAGTTTAAGACTTCATCTGTGTCTAAATTACTAAAACAAACTCTAAATTTTTAATATTTTTGAGGCAATGAACACTGTAGTAGCCTGGTGAAGCCCAGTGATCTCTTTTCACAATATTTTTAGAAGAATAAATGGGCACAAAATAAATATTGAATTCATGAATGCATAGCAATCAATAAATACATATAATAAATTACAATGGATTACAAGGAAAATAAATTAGATTGAGGTACATTTATCAAACTGCTTAAGAAACAAATACCTAATACACTCTTTCTTAGTACATTAAATTAAAAATACTAGCAGTAGGATTAATATATAGTGTAATTCTCAAGCAGTGATAGGCATAAATAATATATTTTAAAGGGACATCTCTTCAACAAATGATGTTGGGAAAATTAGATACCAATGTGCCAAAGATTGAACTTGGGCCCTTATCATATGCCATGTTCAAAAATTAACTCAAAAGCTAATTACAGACCTAAGCACAAAACTGAAATCTATAAAAGTCTTGGCAGAAAATATAGGGGAAAGCTTTATAACCTTAGATTTAGCAATAAATTCATGGATATAACGCCAAAAACACCACCAGCAAAAGCTAAAATAGACGAGATAGTATCAAACTTAAAAACATCTGTGCATCAAAAGGTACAATCAACAGAATGAAAGACAACTTATAGAATGGGAGAAAATGTTTGTAAAGCATATATCTGATAAGGAATTGATATCCAGAAAAAAAAATATATATATATATATAACCTACAACTCAATTACATGAAGCAAGTAGCCCTATTAAAAAGTGAGCAAAAGATTTGTATAGACATTTCTAAAGATGATATGCAAATGGACAAAAAGCATGACCAGAGATGCTCAACATTACTAATCATTAGAGAAAAACCAAACCAAAAATCATGTCAAAACCACAATGGAATATTGTCTCCAACTTATTAGGATGGCTAATATAAAAAAAGAAAATAACAAATGCTGGTGAGGAGGTGAGGAGGCGAAGAAATTGGCATCCTTCTTCGTGGGATTGTAAAATGTGTGACCACTATGGAAAACAGTCTGGTGATTTCTCAGAAATTAAATATTATCATATGATCCAGCAATCCCACTTTTGGATATGTAACCAAAGGAATTGAATGCAGGTTCTCAAAGAGATATTTGCATATCTATGCTCACAGCAGCATTATTCATAATAACTGAGAGATGGAAGCAACCCAAATGTCATTGGTGGATGAATGGATAAACAAAATGTGGTACATACATATAATGATAAAATATTATTCAGCTTGAAAAAGGAAGGAAATCTAGCCATATGCTACAACACAAATAAATCTTGAGGACACTATGCTAAAGAAAATAAGCCAGTCACAAAAACACAAATGTTGTATGATTTTACTTACATAAGGTAACTAAACTGTCACACTCAGAAAACAGAATGTAGAATGGTAGTTTCCAGGGGTTGAAAGTAAGGCTAAATAGGCAACTGATCTTTAACAAGTATAGTTTCAATTGTGCAAGATTGAAAAATTTCTGGAGATCTGTTGGAAAACAACGTGAACATACCTAACATTACAAAACACACACTTAAAAGTGGTTAAGATAGTAAATATTATGTCATCTTTTTTTACTGCATTTATGAATAAATAATAGTATTTAAGATGGCTGTTAACACCTGGAAGGTAACCCCCACATATCTATGGTTTCTATTGGTTAGCGTGGCTAGTATTGCTAATACTACTGTGGTATGGTCCTGATATTTGTAATTGATGATAGTGATTAACTTTAATAAAAGAGTTAATTAGAATATCAATGTAATGATTTCCCATTCAAATTCAAGGACCTCCTAAATTTTATCTGCAGGCTTTTTAGGAATCCATAGCCCCCCAGTTAACAGCCTGTGTATTTAATTACTCTCCTTGCTTCCAGTCCCAACAAATTTACCCAACAAAATGCCTACAAGAGCTCTATTTAATGGAATTTAGCCAGGACACTGTCTAAAAATCTTGCCACTGACTAACTAATATAGGATCAAATCTGAACAAAATCCAGTTGGCTTGGAGTTTTCAGCAAATTCCTGCCTATATCTCAACTCTGTGGATTGAGTTCTTACAATTTCTTTGTTTGCACTGCCTTTTCTCTTCTGTTTTCCAGACTGAATTTCAGTTATGCTTTAAGACATTTATCAGGTGTCAACTCTTTTAATAGGTGGTCTCTTCTTCAAGCTAGATTAGGTAACATTTCCCATGTGACCCCATAATGACCAGAGTTGAAACTTGGCATTCTGTCTTACACTTTAAAATGGAAACTCCTCATAGACAAGGTCCAGTTCATCATTCTATCCTCTGTTGTAGCATGTAATAGACGGATAACAGATATTCACTGAATGGATAGATATATAAATGAAATAGATAAATTTATGTCTTAGCCTGTTAGAGCTGCATAATGGAATGCCTAAGACTCAATAAATTATGAAGAACAGAAAAGTATTTTCTTGTAGTTCTGGAGGCTGAGAAGTACAAGATCAAGGTGCTGGCATCTGGTCTGTTTCATAAAGGCCTGGTCTCTGCTTCCAAGATGACACCTTGTATACTGCATCTTCTGGAGAGCAGAAGAAAGGAAGAGAATAAACCCACCCCTACAAGCTCTTCTTATAGCAGTATTAATATATTCATGACCTAAACACTTCCCATTAGGCCTCCCACCCAATACTGTTTCATTAGGGATTAAGTTTCAATATGAGTTTGGGAGGAGACAAAAGCATTCAAACCCTAGCAGTTTATAAATAGGAAAATCAGATGAATCTGAATGATATTTTTAAACCATTATTAATAAAAAAGAATAAATGTAAAGTAAAAGTTATAACCCAGAGACTGGTAGTTTATTCACTTTTAGATAAAGACAACATGTATCTATGAAATTGATTTAATTTATGTAAGTTATATTTTTATTATATGTATATTCTATTTTATAGTATAATAAATGTAAGGTAAAATATGTATACCTATTTTCCCTTAATGTTTAAATAGACACTACCGGTA